TAATTATATTTCTTTAAAATTATACATTTACCGACCAATGTTTTAGTTGCCAATAGTCAAGGAACCAACACCTTTAGTCACCAAAAGCAACCAATCGCCGACCAACACCTTTAGTCGCTAAAAGCTTCAAACGTGAAAAAAAAAAAAAAAAATCGTTGTAGAACAATTTTGATCTAGTCTCGTAGAGACTCAAACCGCCAACCTCCCGCATCATAAGCCTTGTGCACCACACTCTTCCCACTATGCCTCTATAGCACCACATGATTATAAATGTGGCATATATTATTTATTTAGTACATACATCCATATTAATATAAAAGTATATGTATAAACATAATTATTTTATTGAACATAATTTATGTAAAATAAACTATTTAGTAACAAAAATAAAAAAAGACCACTTTTGGCAACTAAACATATTTTTTAGTCGCCAATTCTATACTTTTGGCTACTAATTGTTTTTTAGTCGCTACAAAACTTAACTTTTGCCAACCAAAAGTCGGATTTAGTTGCCGAAGATGCACTTTCAGCTACCAAAATTTTGGTCGCCAAAAAATTTAATTCTCACCTTAGGATTTTTGTTCTCCCGCGCTAAAAATGACCACTTTCGGCAACTAAACTTATTTTTTTGTTGCCAATTGTAGACTTTTGGCTACTAAAATTTTTTTAGTCACCAAAAAGCTTTACATTTGGCTACTAAAATTTTTTTAGTCACCAAAAAGCTTTACATTTGGCTACTAAATTTTTTTTTTAGTCGGTAAAACCCATATAATCAGCGACCAAACTTATTTTTAGTCGCCAATTGTAGACTTTTGGCTACTAAATTTTTTTAGTCACCAAAAATCTTTACTTTGGGCTACTAAAAATTTTTTAGTCACTAAAACCTATATAATCAGCCACCAAACTTAGTTTTAGTGGCCAATTGTAGACTTTTGGCTACTGAAATTGTTTAGTCGCCAAAAAGCTTTACTTTTGGCTACTAATGCTGTTTTGGTCGCTGAAAGTATCAAATGTTTTTTAGTCGGGAAATTTGGTCACCGAATGTGCTTTTCCTGTAGTGGTGGATGGTGAGTGGTTATGGTGGTGTTTGATTAGGAAAGTGGATGGTGAGTGAGTGTTGATGGTGGTGTGTGATTATGAAAATGGATGGTGAGTGGTGATGGTTGTGTGATTAAGAAAGTGGATGGTGAGTGGTGATGGTGGGGTGTGATTAGGAAAGTGGATGGTGAGTGTGTAATCATTTTTGTATACAAACACATAAACCCATGTAAAATTATAAAATATTATAAATTAATAAATTAAAAATATATTTTAGCAGTCTAAAATAATTTAGCCAAAACGGGTGAAGGTTGAGATTAAAATTCAAATTTGACTTTTCTGCTTAGAAATTCATAAAATAACATATTCAATTTTCTTTATCGGATGTTAAAAAAAAATGCTGAAATCTTAAGATTGATCAAAATGGGGTATCTACAGATTGTGCCAAGGGCAAAGGCTCTGATATGAACAAGGACATCAAATGAGAGAAACTTGTTTAGACTCAATTCTGAAAGAGAATGTAATGTATGTTGCATCTCTATTTCCTTTATGTTGGTTTTGAGTTGTGTTAGGCTATATAACATGAAGTCCCGACCAGTTGTTAATAGTTTTTGTGGGAATTGAGGAAGACGCATGAATGTTAATTATATTCTCCGTCACAAGTTATTGTTTATTAATGGCTTGCGAAGCATCTTACTATTAACAAGTCTTTGTTGAATCTGGTTGAATTTGACGGAAATCTTTAGTGTTAAGACTATAAAACAATTCATTGATTGTAGTACCATCTACAGAATAAATTTAATCTTCTTCTTCTTCTTCTTCTTCTTCTTCTTCTTCTTTTAAAATTATATTCTTTGTTAAATATAGTTCAAAGTTGAATGGAATATTTTTCTGATTGTGGCCTACAGCAGAGACAATGAGCTTAGTATTAGTTAAATGCCATTCATTTCAAATTTCTCATATTTATCACCACCTTCTACTCCTTGTTACACTTGGTAGTCTTAAAGTATTAGAAAACTCTTGCCAATGTGCTGTGACCTTAATTATGTTTTATTATTATTTTTTTAAACCATGCATCTCACTGTTGCAAGTCTTTGTTAAACTTTGTTTAACTTGACCAAGTAATGAATCGAGAGATTTTGCATAATTCTTATACGAAAATGTTTGTCATGCCATTTTAAATAATTTTTCTTATATTAAAATTTTATTTGTCAATTAATTTTTCATGAAATACATAAGAGGAAATTGCCAATCAGTAGTGCAATGACAAGTGTTGGATAAGTATTCCATATCTGTTTATGCATTCATTATTAACACCTCGGAAAAATAGCATTGACCCACTCTACATGACAAATTAGGTGCAAGCTTCTCCATATATCACTACTAGAAATATCAGTTTTTGCGTCTATTTTTTTGCGACTGTTTATTAAACCGTCGCAAAAAATCACTTTTTTCCATAACAATCCCGTTTTGCTTAACCCCCAATCGTGTTCTTAACTGAACAAAAAAAAAAAAAAAATCCCAAAATTGTGCAAAACTTGCCCTATCCCTTTCACTCTTATTTCCCAACTCTCTCTCACGCTCAAAACCTCACAAATCATACTGGTAATCTCACAAATTCTCCTCTCTCACTCGACTCTCCACTCTCTCTCGCTCGACTCCCACTTTGATGAAGATATGAAGATTTTGATCGATTGCTGATGAAGATTTGAAAATTTTGATCTGCTATTGATGAAGATTTGGATCGATTCATAATCGGTAAGCCTAATTTCTATGTATGAATCCAACTCTTTGTCTCTGTAATCCCTGTGTCTTTCTTTCAGCTCCCAAATTCTCTTCGACTCATAGCTTTGTTTGATTTCGAAGATCAACATCAACGGTAACAACATGAATTTTTTCCAATTCAATTTATTTTTACCAATTCAATTTATTTTTATCAATGCGGTGCAGATTCTGATTTCGAAACATCTTTTTGATTCGAAGATCATTTTATTTTTTATTTTTATTTTTTTAGATTATTAAATCTTGATTTGCTTTGGCTTTAAAACTTGATCTGAACATTTCTCTAGATTGTTTGCTAAATTTCATTTAGTTTTTGAACCTCTTGTTTGTATGCTGAGAAAATTTTAGGAACCAACCGAATTTCAAACTTTTAGTGTTATGCTTTTATGTTTGTTTGGCTAGAAAACTGAAGCTCACCTCAATTAAGGTAAAATATATATATATATATATATTTGTTTTCCTGTGTCTATGATACACTTTCTTAGCAACCAAACTGAGCATAATTTGGTTAATCTTTGAATGATTTTTCTAGTTTATAATCTTTTTGTTCTGCTTTGAATTCTTCTTGGTTACATGTTTTAGTCGTAGTTGATTTCTATATTGCTCTGTTTAATTTTGATTTCAAGCTCTCTCTGTAGTTTTCAATTTCAATTTAGTTTGAGGAAGCTCAGAAGTAATTTAGATCTTGAATTAAATGATGAATTGCTTGGTACTGATATCTTTCTCTCTCGTTTTTGAATTTGAATTCGATTCATATAGCTAAATGCATAGAGTATTGAATATTTGAATGTGTGTATCTATTGTCTTGCAAACATCTTCGTGTCACAAATAATAGTCATAAATAGGGAGATATTGATGTTTGTGGTTTGTTGAATTGAAATGTTTCACTATGAAGTGATATATTTGGAATTGGTATAAAAAACAACAGGTCAAAACTTGGGCCCCAGTGCAAGCTTGGATTAGGTGCAAGCTTGGATTTGAGGAACATATATTTTCCGTAGAGAAATCTTTTCTTATTGTTAGTTCTCTTGCATATCTGCATGTGTTTATTTTTCGTAGAGAATTTTTGCATGTGATATTTTTGTAGTTTTCTTGATACCATAGCTGTTAAATTTAACTGAAGCTTGTTGAAGTCAATGCTCATACTTGGGCAGATTGATGTTCTGCTTTGGCTTCATTTCTGTGAATATTTTATCTTTGGAAAAATCGTGATAAGTGGACAGAAAGAATGATAGTGAGAATTTATGCCGACTTGCTTATTTAGAGACCCCATTTGCCTTAAAGAAACATATATTAGAATTCTTAAATTATATTGAATTCTTCTGTCTTTATCAAATAATAAAATTGTGCCCCAGATTCCTCTTCTAGAATTCAAAATATAAAATGATCATTAGATCTTCATTGGTCTCAACCTTCCAAGTCCAAAACCAGAAGGTATTATAAGTTGACATTACTACTGCCATTATTGTTGCCACCATAATTACTGTTGTTGCTTCTTAGATGCCTATGTCACTGAAATAGGGCTTCTAACCCTGGAAAGACCTTTGTCAAAGTGCACCCATATCAAATGCCCTTGAGTAGAGCTCATATTTTTGTTGTTATTTTCTTCCTTGAAATAATCCAAACTCTGTAACTCAACTGCTGGTTCGTATATTTGAATATTAGTCTTTGCGGTTTAACTCTTACTTTGACTCCTTCAGGTTCCACTACTTCGACCGAGTAAATGGAATTAGGACTCCCTACATTTGTCAATTGCCTTTTGATCACCTTACTCATCTTCCTGGGCGTGAACATCACCGAAATCGAGGAATAATTGATACTAAAACCCCTGTTCTCCAGCAAAGTCTCATGGCAACTCACATTCCTGTGAGTAATTGTGAAAATTTATGATTTTGTGTATCCCAGGGTGCACAGATGAGTGATATACTCATCTGGCCTGATATCATATACCAGTCCTGGATTGATGGCTCTCTTGGGGTTTACATGTCCAGCTCCAGTTGCGAAAACTCCTGCAGGTTTGTCTCCAACCATTATTGGCCTTCCTGAATGGTCTGTGATTTTTGCTGTTGTCATGATTGCAGATTTAATAGCTGTTGGGGTCTATGTTGGATGAGCTAAGTGGATCAGAGCAGCAATTCCACCGACATGTGGACAAGCCATGGAAGTCCCTGACATGACAGTGAAGTTCACTCTTCTAGAATCTTCTAGAAGAGTGCTGGGGCCCAAGTTTTGAGGCCAGGCAGCAATGATGTTCACTCCAGGAGCAAGATTGGATTTGAGGAACATATATCTCGATGGTGAGTTTTTTTGTACATCTCTTATTTCATATAGGAATGATGTTCACTCCAGAATCCCTATATTTAACATTTTAAACTGATTTTTGGTATCTGAAATCCATACCCACAAAAAAATTATCATTTCATGAAGAGAAATTGGCTTCATAATTAAATTGGACAAATAAATAAATACAAATAAGAAAAGATGAATTTGATGACTTGGGAGTGAACATAGCAAAAATTCGTGTTGTTAGTGGGTGACTCCATTGAAGGAGGTGTTGAAGGCTTTTTTGTGAGTGGATTTTGAAATTGACTCAAAGCTAGTGTACCTCTTTATTCTTTTCAACTAACTTTAATATGTAGAAAGCACTTTGATTTCTTTATCTCTGAATCTGTTCTCACTGTTTGGTTTGAACTTGGTCGTTGATTTTCCCATCTTATGTGAGTTCACATTCAATAAATGTGCAGTGGATTTATTCTGTCTTCTCTTATGTTGAGTTCCCACAAGGATAATGCAGTTTCAGATAATAGTACTGATCATGTGGCTTGGTAGGTTGTTAAAACATCATCAGATATGTTTTTGCTTGTCCCTGACATCTCGGTGTATATTTATGAAGGTCTTTAAGATGACTGCTAATGTGATGCTCAATATTGTTGGAGCTGATTGGAGTTAAATTTATCTGATGTAGGACACAATAACTGGATTTTTACTGGCTGGAGTAGGCAATGTGGATTTGCGGAGAAAGACAAATTACCTAATTGTGGACTCAAGTATGCTTTTGAGCTCCAAATGTTGTGAAATTTTAATGTTTTAGGCATATGATGAATTGAAAAGCTATCTCCAATAAATGACTGGATGGTCAACATACTTTAATTTTATGATAAAATCATTAAAGCCTACAAGTTACTCTTGTCATTTATGTTGTAGATTTTGTTTCTCTGTAACAGAATGAGAAGCTAAGGAGATTCAAAATTTGCTTTCAAATTGTTGAGAGAGAGAGAGAGAGAGAGAGAGAGAGAGAACTTGAAACTACATTGGTTTCAGAAGCTGTTATACTGCTCCAAGTTTTTGTTAGCACGTCCACGAGGGACCCACGCTACAGTTCGAACTCGATTCGTGTCACGGTTCTTAATCTGAACCAAAGAGTCCAAATCCAGCAAATCGTTTTGAGAAACAGATTTTTGAAAAGAAGTGCCAAACATGGACTGTTTTGCCAGATATAGAGTCGCCACCTAAATATTTTATTTTTGGGAGAATTTAGGAAACCCTGACTCGGTGCCAAAGGCCATGTGTCCGTCATCACCAAAGTTGCCTCGGCTCGGGAACTTGGGTACGATTGGAGAAGGTCAGCTATGAGCACCCCCCCTCGCCCGATCCGAAGATCGGCCTCTACTAACCATGATATCCGTTTTTGAAAACGTTATGTGTTCTTATCCTGATTATTAGCCTAGAATTACTATGTTATGCGCACAGCACAAAAGTATAGACTAGATTGTCTAATTTAGGGATGAGCATTGCATATCCGTTTGTTTTGGAAGAATGCTTTGGAATTTGCTACTCGCAAGTAGGCTAAAACACGAATTTCAATGAGCTATTCCAACTCAGACAATCCAACCTTCACCCACAGGCATTCAAGCAGTTATATCACATAAGCAGCTAGCCTCATGGTAATCATGCTATCATGGCAACACTCACACGCATGCAAGGATGCTAAAGCATAAATACTTACATCGTACTCCGTGCCAAAACAAAGAACTCATTAGCAATCAATGCATGATCCAAGTCCATGTTTAAATGTCTAATGCAACGCATACGGAATGTCACTAGAGAAGGCTCGACTATTCTATGAATGACATGTGAAAATGCACAAGTAGCATGTATTCAAGTTAGATTTGAAATACTATTGCAATTAGCATGATGCGCCGAGCCCGGTGCATGCAATACTGATGAATGATGCACGCATGCATAGCATAAGGTATGCTAAATTAAACATGACCTATTACTAACCATCAAAGCAGGTAAGTAAAAGGGAGAAAGAAGTGGGGGTTGGAAGACATGCACACACTCACCCACACTTATTACAAATTCGCCCTCGCTCGGAGGAACCGAAAGAATAATACAAATTAACTAACTCGCAAGCTAATTAATCATTACAAATCACCTAATTAATTAACAAATTAACTAAGCATAAGAAAAGCAATAAAAGGGGCCTCGGGAAGAGGGTTTGACGCGCGCGTGCTCGGGTCTTGCTCGGAAGTGCACTGCCATGCATAGGCTGCTTCTGTTTTCCCTGCTCTGCCTCTTTGAAGACTGCCAAAGTCTCAAAATTGCTTCCCCGGACATTGGGAGACACCACCGGCTGAGTAGAATGGCCACCGGCAGTAGTATGTGATCATCGGCTGTTGATGAAGCTATCGGCCACCAATGGATTGCCGGTCGGCAATGAACACTGCCGGTCGGCAAAGAATGTCTGCAGAACCTGCAATTTACAGCAGCAGGGGGCAAGGCATAGCATGGCAATACGATTTAAGCAATGTGTGCGCCAATCCTATCCCTTATCATGTGTATGACTGAAAGGGACATGGTCCTTGGTTCCCGGACCACCAATCGCGCATTTCAATGCGTGATGGCCCAAGAGACCAAGTTGTGCATTTCATGTCAAATGAAATGCAAACCAAATAAGCACATAAAGGCCCAACCTCTATCACTTGACTTCAAGAGGCGAGGTATGCATGTTCAATGCGATGCAACCTAAACATGTTAGCTAATATGCAACATGGCATAAAAGAGAGCATACAAACATGCAATGCACATTAGGTATACAAACATGCCACAATTATGAAAACCAGTAGAGCATGCAAGATGTAATCCAATCACACAACATGCTAGCAACTCGACCAATGGAATGCAAGGCGAATGCAAGTGATTTCAAGCATGTAACATGTGCAACCAAAGCATGCAAACATGGGATGATGTAACAACACTTGAATGGCATGCAAGGGATGGACTTACACTAATTGGACAGCTCTAAGTTAGGTCCAAAACAGTGGCCAAAAGCTTAAGAAAATGGGACCAAACACACATACACACATGCACATGTTAAGGCCTAACGCTTAAGCATCAAAGGACAACTTTTAAGCACACTTAAAAGGGAATAATCATGGACATATGGCATGCATTATAAGCCTTGAAAATCATGCTATAAGAGGTACCAAACCAACTTAAAGGGGACTTAAACCATGGCTAAGCCAACCAAGCCTCACAAGGCCAAGAAGGCTTAAAACAGGTCCAAGGCAGACCTAGACCATGCAAAGGGACCCCCTAGATGGCATCTAAGTGGCTCAAGTTCAAAAGTATGCACAAAGGCCAAAACATGGAGCATACAACATAAGCTTTTAAAGCATTAAAGAGATGTCCAAGGCAAGCATACAAGCATGTCAAAGGGACTGAAATAGCATGGCAAGTGGTCTCAAACCACTGAAAATGATGCAAGTAATGCATACCACACAATCACACACTTAAGGCCAACAAACCAAAAATACAAAGGGGCTATATAATGCGTGCCATGGTCGACCAAAATGGCTAAGGACAGACCTTAAACATGGTGAAATAAGCATGGAGGCTTCACAAAGCTAAGCCTAAAGCATGTTAGAACAATTGTTTACAACCTAAGGCATGTGAAGGCGACAAAATGGCATTACAAGGCATGTGTGCTAAGCAAGCATGGTGTACCAAAACCAACTAAAAACTGAGGCATATAATGACATAATAAGCACAAAAATCAGCTAAGGCATGGTCAACATGAACCTAAGCTAGGTGCTCCCTCAAGAAGCAAAAAAATGGTCCTTTTCAAGGACAACAAGGAGGGGGGGTGGCCCTCTCCTTCTTGGGACCTCAAGGCACCATCCTCACCTCTGAAATCCCTCAATATTTCAGTGGTGAGGAGGCCCAAACACCAAGGTCTCGGAGCTCACTCAAAATGGCACAAAATGGAGCCTTACAATGTTTAAAAGGGGTCAAACAACCTCAAATCACAAAACACTCTAAACAAACTATTTAGAGAGCCTAAAAACAGAACTTTTTTATGTTATACACTAAACACAAAAA